ATGAAATAATACGACAGCGGACCGCGTCCGACACGATGACACCCCGTCGGGCGCGCGACTAAACCGTCAAAGTGCGCCTCTATATATTATTTTTTACACTATTATTATACGATCTTTTTATTATTATTCTCCGTATTCTCGGAGACGATACGATCTCGGACGCGTGCCGGTATATCCATTTGCTCCTCTTCGTCTATATAATAATAATAATAATAATAATGATATAATATATAATATAGCTGCTCCCGCGGCGCAACCGTATCTCCTGCTAGACCTACTTGTATACTTACTTCTGCATCTTCTATATACATGTCCTATTGCAGTAGCTACAGCAGCAGTGTCGTCCTCGTCCATACTTCTTATATCAAGTTCATCAGAGTTTAGGTTAGCAGAGAGTTAGTCAAGAGCTCTATGTGACTATATACACTTTTATATTTAGCAAAATCATACATATATATATATAATATACAGTCTGTTGAAGAACTGATGCAGATAATGCGACGATATTTTGGATTTCAGTACGAGTTTTCATAATATATAGTGTGTGCGTACAAAGGGGAGGTACTTATGCTAGGGAACGTATATAATATAACTGCTGTCTAATATTATTATAATTCGATTGCAATTTATTTCGCACAGAGTGCTTTGCCATGGTAAAAAAAAATTGATTTAATACCTATTTCTCCCTGCGAGTCTTATTCGATACTGCAATATCAACTGGTCATCATATTACTCCGACCGAAACAGAGTAGGTACCACAAAAACCTTTTAACCTCCACACATACCTCCGTTACGGTACTCGCACATTTTTTTTTGCCTTCCAAAATATTGCTTTATACACGCGAGTGTTTATCTATTTTTATATTACGTCTGTCTCTCGCTCTTAATAACAGTGGTGTGTGTGTGTGTGTGTGTGTGTGTGTGATATGCTCACGCATGTACGTGTGAATCTCTCATTGATGTTATCTGTTACGACGGATAGTTGTTATGTAAAGATAATGCGGCACACCCGAGCCACCGGGACGGAAGAGTGAGAACCGCGCGCTGCAGAAGTAACAAGACTTGCACACGCACACACCCACCCACATACACACACACACTGTACATCTCGTATGTCGCTCGTGGTTTTAAAACGATTTTTCGAAAAGTGTAGACGATATTATTATTATTATTATTGTTATTATACATGTATGCGCGAGCGATCCGCCTAATTAACACCGTAATAATAACACATACGGAACAATGCGTTTCTGTTTTGCTAGGTTTTTTTTTTTTATTTAAAAAAACATTTCATCGTCGTCATTTATTATACAGCCTATACACCTACCTGTTTTTTAGTGTTTGTCCGTCGTGTACGGGGAATGGGCTACATGCATGATGCATATTATGTTATTATAGCCGTTGATTTTTCGGACTTCACGTGTCCCGGAACCTCGCAACAGGAGACATAGTTCGCCCGGCAATCTTGAGAAAAGTATATACCTACAATGTGTGTTTTTATATTTTAGTACCTTCCACACATCGCGTGTCGTGTCCCCAAAAACGGATTTCCTGCTGCCGCCCGGCCTCGTCAAGTATATATTATTTGAACGTGGAAATAACCTGTAAAAATGTTTTCGGTTATTATAAAAAAAAAAAAAAAATGATAGTAAAAACAACGACAGCGACCATAATAATAGTTATTTATGTGCTATCTGGAGCAGCTGCGTAGTGCCCGTGCAAACGACGAGATCGCATATCGGACCTATCTCCTTAGTCCTTATTATCCTATTATGTAATATATAATACCTATGCATATATACATGCCGGGCAGACTATACCATCCCAGCTATGTAGAACGCGTTTGTCAATCGTTTTGGCGAGGCGCTTTAAATTTCTAAACCAGATTTTTCGTTTGACGACGCAAATCGATGAAAATTTAAAAATTGTCGTCTGCGGCGTAGTAATGGTACGGAACCGCATCTATTTATAATACAATGTGCACGGTGTACACTCCTTTAATATCATTCACATTACACACATTTCGAGCTGCTGCTGATACTGTATTGTGTGTCGTTACCTGTATATAATATCATAGTAGTTCACGGTCCCGCCATGAGCCAACCCGACCCGAACCGTTCCGCGGTAAACGCGACACCACGACACAGACCGTCGGTTCGGTTTCGGTTTTGTATATTTTATTATAATATATAATTTTATGTTCAAATAATGCTCCGATGCGCGTTTCTCGGCGTCTCGCGTGCTATATCATACACCAATGATTATGTTATTTACGCATGGTCGTCGAGGTGCAAGAACAGTCGCGGCGGTGACACGCCGAGGCCGCGCTCGTGCCCAACGTTTAGGTTAGGTTCGGTACATAGTTTTCATTCCAGTTACGTAAGTTAATATATAATATTTACATACCTAGTGTAATCGACATCGCGAAATATTACAAGAAATCACAATGTAATAGACTAATTTAGAGCACGGCGATTGCTTGTACCGTAATACGACGTCGTTTTCCCGGCGGCGGCCGAGATTTTCCTCGCTCGTTTTCAGACTCGCACTTGATATTGTAATAATGCGATACCATAATAATATACGCATGCACCGTCGTCCAACCCGACGCGACGACGCGCGATCGGTCGGACGCGATAACCGCGGTATACTCGCGCGGTGCCATACCGGTTTGGTCGCACGAACCAAGGTTGCTGCACCGAGTCACCGGCGGCGGGTCACGACGAGATGCGCACGCAAAATAAATAAAAAAATCACTGCACACCGTTTCGTCGCGGTACGCCAATAACGATACCTCGCGGTATCTGTGCGGAGGTACGCTGCTCGACAATATAATAATATAGGAACTCGCGTGTTATTGGTATGGGTATATAAGTGAACTTATATATTGTTTTTTAGGTATGTATATTGTTATAGGTTTATGCGTCGGGTACATGTTATTACGCTAACAATAAACTCGCGCGTATAGGTAAACGCGAAAACTGGACAAATGTCGACGAGGTCAGTGCGTTGTGGGAGGGAGGGTAGAATGAAGAAATGGGTGGTAGTTTGCGATAATCGGGTGTGTGATCTGCCTCGACAATACGTGGGTACGCATATACGGTGCAGCGCTGTTTGACGGCATGAAAATCGTGTCGAAAAACGCCAACCCGCCGTCTATAGTGCCCACAGAATATATTATTAAAATATTTTCCTCAGCCACCGACGCTGTCTCGGCGATCCAACGCTGCACTGCGATAAGTGCGCTCCGATCGGTAGAGTCCCGATACAATACGATACTGTACAATATTATTGTTTTTATTATTATGACTATAGTCGATAGCAACATATGTGCTCGTATCGGCTATAAATCGTTTTGAATTATACGCCCGCGGAATGTGTCTGCAGCGCGAAAGGACACTCCTTTTTTCATTTTACTCACTCGTGGCATAATATTGTGCGTAATTGGACGTATTTTATTATATACTTCGTGATTTATTAAATCATATAATTTTTATAAACTCGTGTGAGCGGGGCAGCGGGCGGCGGCGGCGGCGGCGTTGAGTGCATATATGACGGCATTTTTTCCCGCAGTTTTCGTGCCCAAATCCGGACGCGTCTGACGACGATTTCTATCCGAACGACACAACGCGCTCCGTTTGCCAAATATAATAATATATAACGACTGTTTTTTTCTTGTGGTTTTCGCACAAGTGGACTCGAATCCGGCGGCCGTCTCTCCAAACAGTAAACTGTTAAAAAAAACCAGCGCACACGCATGCCCCCGGGTGTTATTTTTTGTTCTCGAGTTCACACTCTCGTGCACGGATAATAATCATATTATTATTATTGCGTCTCCCTCTGGGTATATATATTTATATATTACGCAAATAAACAAACAAAACTGCAGAGACGGTGACGGTGGAAGCAGTATAGGTACACACTGCACATAGTTACACATTATAGTATGTACCTACGTATATTATATATTGTTGTGTTATAATATTGGAACGGGATAAACACTAGTGTAACAAACAACAACACGGTAAATAATAGGTTACACTCATTGAACCGGTAACCGGAACACACACACACACACACACACACACACCGGGGGGATGAAAACCGCCGCGCCCTCGACCGGGCAGGGACGAGGGCGGTATCGCCGGTATCCCGCTGAGGTATTTTTATTATTATTTTGTGGACCCCGGGGAGAGGACTACTGTCGGCGGCGTTGGCAGTAGCTGTGCAGCGATTACGGCGGCGCGATACGCGTATAGGAAATCATACGTTGTATATTATTATTATTATTATACGTTTCTGTGCATTATTTTTCCCAACGGGCCCTTTTGTTCGACTTCGCCGTTCGACCACGCCCACACTGGAGGTGCGAAAAAGATCCAACGGTCGCCTTCTCCCCCTACAACCTCTTTTAGGCACATCAAATAGACACACGCTGTGCGACCACCTTTCCATAACCATGTTATAAACTCGCGCACATTGTCGTGTGTAAACGTCTCCGCATATATTTCATAATAATAATATGTATGTCAGTATGATGAATGAGAAACACGAAAATCAATTGTAAAAACGAGCTGCGTGCTGACGTTAATGATGTTTCGACATTTCTACAGGAAGATAATATTATTAATATTGTAGTACAACTCACACACTTATAATGTGATCTATGTTTCTTATGCTGAGGGTTAGGGATGACACGAAAAAGTGTGTGTACTAAATAGTGGGTATACAACTCCAAAGACACACGAAACAATTAAATCATTATTATCCCTGTATGTTTATATTATACAGCAGTGTACTGGGCAGTCACTGCCCGATTTCGAAAACCGCAAATGGCACCCTAGCTCCCCCCTCGGGCACACTATAAAATCTTCTACTCGCGTCAAAATATACAAAATTATTTTAGTTCTCGCGGTAAACGGAATCGTCAAAAATATACTGCCATCATGATGTCTTACACAGGTTTTAATAATAACATAATTATTGTGTTTTGTCCGCAGGTTGTACGGCATACGGCGGTGCGGCCGGTGCCAGGCGGCCATTTCGCCGTCGGAGCTGGTGATGCGCGCCCGGGACACGGTGTTCCACGTGCCGTGTTTCAGTTGCACCGTCTGCTTGGCGGTGCTGACCAAGGGCGATCAGTTCGGCATGCGCGACGGCGCGGTGTTTTGCCAGCACCATTACCAGCAGTTCGGGCCGTCGTCCGCGTCGCTGCAGGCCCAGCAACAGCAACAGCAACAGTCGCCGCTGCCGAGGACCATCATGCCGCCGTCGATGACGCCCGTCCAGTCGCCGTACCCGTCGTCCCGGGCGCTCGAGTCACCCGCGCCCGGCGCCGGCGCGTTCTTCAACGGCGGTGCCGCGGCCAACGGAGCCGGTGGTGCGCCTGCCGTCTCCGCTCCCACGCAACCCCGGCAGAAAGGCCGTCCCAGGAAGCGTAAACCCAAAGACTTGGACGCCATGACCGTCAATATGGGTGAGTTGGACATAGTAACACATNTTGTCAATCGTTTTGGCGAGGCGCTTTAAATTTCTAAACCAGATTTTTCGTTTGACGACGCAAATCGATGAAAATTTAAAAATTGTCGTCTGCGGCGTAGTAATGGTACGGAACCGCATCTATTTATAATACAATGTGCACGGTGTACACTCCTTTAATATCATTCACATTACACACATTTCGAGCTGCTGCTGATACTGTATTGTGTGTCGTTACCTGTATATAATATCATAGTAGTTCACGGTCCCGCCATGAGCCAACCCGACCCGAACCGTTCCGCGGTAAACGCGACACCACGACACAGACCGTCGGTTCGGTTTCGGTTTTGTATATTTTATTATAATATATAATTTTATGTTCAAATAATGCTCCGATGCGCGTTTCTCGGCGTCTCGCGTGCTATATCATACACCAATGATTATGTTATTTACGCATGGTCGTCGAGGTGCAAGAACAGTCGCGGCGGTGACACGCCGAGGCCGCGCTCGTGCCCAACGTTTAGGTTAGGTTCGGTACATAGTTTTCATTCCAGTTACGTAAGTTAATATATAATATTTACATACCTAGTGTAATCGACATCGCGAAATATTACAAGAAATCACAATGTAATAGACTAATTTAGAGCACGGCGATTGCTTGTACCGTAATACGACGTCGTTTTCCCGGCGGCGGCCGAGATTTTCCTCGCTCGTTTTCAGACTCGCACTTGATATTGTAATAATGCGATACCATAATAATATACGCATGCACCGTCGTCCAACCCGACGCGACGACGCGCGATCGGTCGGACGCGATAACCGCGGTATACTCGCGCGGTGCCATACCGGTTTGGTCGCACGAACCAAGGTTGCTGCACCGAGTCACCGGCGGCGGGTCACGACGAGATGCGCACGCAAAATAAATAAAAAAATCACTGCACACCGTTTCGTCGCGGTACGCCAATAACGATACCTCGCGGTATCTGTGCGGAGGTACGCTGCTCGACAATATAATAATATAGGAACTCGCGTGTTATTGGTATGGGTATATAAGTGAACTTATATATTGTTTTTTAGGTATGTATATTGTTATAGGTTTATGCGTCGGGTACATGTTATTACGCTAACAATAAACTCGCGCGTATAGGTAAACGCGAAAACTGGACAAATGTCGACGAGGTCAGTGCGTTGTGGGAGGGAGGGTAGAATGAAGAAATGGGTGGTAGTTTGCGATAATCGGGTGTGTGATCTGCCTCGACAATACGTGGGTACGCATATACGGTGCAGCGCTGTTTGACGGCATGAAAATCGTGTCGAAAAACGCCAACCCGCCGTCTATAGTGCCCACAGAATATATTATTAAAATATTTTCCTCAGCCACCGACGCTGTCTCGGCGATCCAACGCTGCACTGCGATAAGTGCGCTCCGATCGGTAGAGTCCCGATACAATACGATACTGTACAATATTATTGTTTTTATTATTATGACTATAGTCGATAGCAACATATGTGCTCGTATCGGCTATAAATCGTTTTGAATTATACGCCCGCGGAATGTGTCTGCAGCGCGAAAGGACACTCCTTTTTTCATTTTACTCACTCGTGGCATAATATTGTGCGTAATTGGACGTATTTTATTATATACTTCGTGATTTATTAAATCATATAATTTTTATAAACTCGTGTGAGCGGGGCAGCGGGCGGCGGCGGCGGCGGCGTTGAGTGCATATATGACGGCATTTTTTCCCGCAGTTTTCGTGCCCAAATCCGGACGCGTCTGACGACGATTTCTATCCGAACGACACAACGCGCTCCGTTTGCCAAATATAATAATATATAACGACTGTTTTTTTCTTGTGGTTTTCGCACAAGTGGACTCGAATCCGGCGGCCGTCTCTCCAAACAGTAAACTGTTAAAAAAAACCAGCGCACACGCATGCCCCCGGGTGTTATTTTTTGTTCTCGAGTTCACACTCTCGTGCACGGATAATAATCATATTATTATTATTGCGTCTCCCTCTGGGTATATATATTTATATATTACGCAAATAAACAAACAAAACTGCAGAGACGGTGACGGTGGAAGCAGTATAGGTACACACTGCACATAGTTACACATTATAGTATGTACCTACGTATATTATATATTGTTGTGTTATAATATTGGAACGGGATAAACACTAGTGTAACAAACAACAACACGGTAAATAATAGGTTACACTCATTGAACCGGTAACCGGAACACACACACACACACACACACACACACCGGGGGGATGAAAACCGCCGCGCCCTCGACCGGGCAGGGACGAGGGCGGTATCGCCGGTATCCCGCTGAGGTATTTTTATTATTATTTTGTGGACCCCGGGGAGAGGACTACTGTCGGCGGCGTTGGCAGTAGCTGTGCAGCGATTACGGCGGCGCGATACGCGTATAGGAAATCATACGTTGTATATTATTATTATTATTATACGTTTCTGTGCATTATTTTTCCCAACGGGCCCTTTTGTTCGACTTCGCCGTTCGACCACGCCCACACTGGAGGTGCGAAAAAGATCCAACGGTCGCCTTCTCCCCCTACAACCTCTTTTAGGCACATCAAATAGACACACGCTGTGCGACCACCTTTCCATAACCATGTTATAAACTCGCGCACATTGTCGTGTGTAAACGTCTCCGCATATATTTCATAATAATAATATGTATGTCAGTATGATGAATGAGAAACACGAAAATCAATTGTAAAAACGAGCTGCGTGCTGACGTTAATGATGTTTCGACATTTCTACAGGAAGATAATAATATTAATATTGTAGTACAACTCACACACTTATAATGTGATCTATGTTTCTTATGCTGAGGGTTAGGGATGACACGAAAAAGTGTGTGTACTAAATAGTGGGTATACAACTCCTGCAAAGACACACGAAACAATTAAATCATTATTATCCCTGTATGTTTATATTATACAGCAGTGTACTGGGCAGTCACTGCCCGATTTCGAAAACCGCAAATGGCACCCTAGCTCCCCCCTCGGGCACACTATAAAATCTTCTACTCGCGTCAAAATATACAAAATTATTTTAGTTCTCGCGGTAAACGGAATCGTCAAAAATATACTGCCATCATGATGTCTTACACAGGTTTTAATAATAACATAATTATTGTGTTTTGTCCGCAGGTTGTACGGCATACGGCGGTGCGGCCGGTGCCAGGCGGCCATTTCGCCGTCGGAGCTGGTGATGCGCGCCCGGGACACGGTGTTCCACGTGCCGTGTTTCAGTTGCACCGTCTGCTTGGCGGTGCTGACCAAGGGCGATCAGTTCGGCATGCGCGACGGCGCGGTGTTTTGCCAGCACCATTACCAGCAGTTCGGGCCGTCGTCCGCGTCGCTGCAGGCCCAGCAACAGCAACAGCAACAGTCGCCGCTGCCGAGGACCATCATGCCGCCGTCGATGACGCCCGTCCAGTCGCCGTACCCGTCGTCCCGGGCGCTCGAGTCACCCGCGCCCGGCGCCGGCGCGTTCTTCAACGGCGGTGCCGCGGCCAACGGAGCCGGTGGTGCGCCTGCCGTCTCCGCTCCCACGCAACCCCGGCAGAAAGGCCGTCCCAGGAAGCGTAAACCCAAAGACTTGGACGCCATGACCGTCAATATGGGTGAGTTGGACATAGTAACACATTATACTCAACATTGTATATTAAGTATCTAAGGCTACCAACTGCACGTCAATGTTAGGGGACGGGCAAGACTTAAATTCTCGCTTAATTCGAATTTCAAAATCGTATAACACGTTCAAGTTGTTTGAATTTAAAAATACAGACAACAAAATGTATATTTCGGGTATGCCATGTAATTCTAACAAAAAATTCATATTTTCAAAATGTATGTAATGCTCTATTGTCGGAGCCTCTTTAAAATGGCATTAGGTTTTTATAGTAAGTACATATATACTATATATTATATATAGTTACTACTAATTTTTGAGAAAATTCCAATTAATTTTTTTATCTTCTTTCGTCGAATACAGCAGTTGTGTAAAATATAAAATTGTTGTTACTTTTTACCGTATTTATAGATATTTAATAATTATAATACAAAATTAATTTGTCATTTTCGTATTTCTAAATATACGACCATACAGTTTTTTTTTAGAAATTCCGCAGTAAAAGATATAGGTACTGTAATAAGATATTATACTATAATAATGTTACATAGTAAATACTATGTTATACACATAATTTACATTACACATATATACAGCTGGTAGGAGAGTTAGCTGGTGATTAGGTCAAACTATACAAGGAAGGTCGTTCGAATTTGTCGTTACAATTTGGTGCGTTTTATTGCTGGAGTGTAATTATTACCTATAATATGTTTACGTAAAGAGTATTATTTCCACTATAAAACCCCCGTATGAAATTTAGTCGTTTTTTGTTTTTGAATATACGATCCTATAACGACTATCTGATTATCTGATCGTTTAAATTCATCTCTATCGTATATTTAATGCGTTTTAGAGTACCGTACAATTTATAGTATACAAACAAATCCGTCGGAAATGAATTTAATGTATAATTGCAGATAAACGGTTACGGATTTATGGTATTTTAATTGTGCATATAGCTGAAGCCTCCGATTATAATATATTAACAATAAGCATAATATATAAGCGTGCAATGATAATACGTTTAGAATCATTATGGGTTCTATTACTGTTTAATATATCATATAATAATATATGTATATAATAGCGTTTATATGTATTCCGACAAAATCGTTTTTTTTTTTTTTAATAACCTTCATAAAAACGAAGAGAGATTAATTATTATTATTAATACTTAACTTAAAATCTGTCAGATTCACACGAAGTAGCCCGTGAGAATGAACACCGACTACTAGTAAAACGATATAAAATAACTATATACCTACGCATGAGCATGCATGCACACCTATATACCGTTTTTCCACGTGTGTATTTCACAATGATGATAGGCAG